GCTCGTTCGAGATATTACAGTACTGCAACTTGAGTAAATTAAGTGCTGGTGCCTGGTCCTGGTGTGAATGTCGCACACGCGATCTCTGAAGCAACGTCCCTGCCACCGTTCTCGCCACAGTGTAGAACTAACCAACAACACCCATAAATGGAATAGCCTATTAGTCCTGATCCTCACACGACAGCCAATTCATACCGTATTATGAAGGCCTAAAAAGAAAAAGGATGCTTTAAGTCATACAGTAACCAATACATTGCATTTAATAGCATTGTGAACCGAGCAGAAATGGGTCTATTCCAGGTACAAATTCGACGAGAACCACAGGAACTATACCCTGAACATCGAGGGTCTTATCTGCAATCTGAAGCCGACCGTCCTGAAATCGTACAAGAAACATCCTAAACCAGGAGTCAAGGCAGTTGGGCAGACCTCGGCTTTTATCGAAGGGCACGGAATCCTCACGTACACGGTAAGGATAAGATTTTGCTGTTCTAATTTTGCGAAGACTATTCAGCTCTCTTGGCTCACTTTATCTGATTTACCTTATCAACATCCGTGTGCATGTGGAGACCTTAGGTCCTATAGAGCTCAGCGCTGCTGGTTTCAGGGATATGAGGCGCTGCTCAGCTTTGTTGGGAAAGGAGGGGACTTTTAGTTTTTCGCTTGCTCTCTCTCTATTAGTATGCAAAAAGTAGAAGAGCACTGCTTCCACGAACGTCATACTGTATCCCCCACGAGCTGTTTGGAACACAATATATACATGTGAAAGTAAGCATGAATAGAGTTTATAGTCTGGTTCGCTATGGGTGGCGGGGCGTGTCCACGCGCTGCGTTTGGTGCGGTGCCAACCCGCTTTTCCCTTTTTTTCGCGCGCATATCGTTCAAATCAATCGTTTTTCACCAGTTGTTGTCATTTTTGAACAACTGGCGGAGAATGGATTTGCAGATGCGGGCACGCCCGATCATCCGCAGCAAACCAACCTGCACTGTATTTTTACTTACAAATCGCTTTTAAACTGCCAGGGAGCGAAAGAAGGCAGTCTATTTCAGATCCACCACGACGAACCGCCTCGGATGGGAACGAGAGTCGCAGTGAGCTGTGGTTTTGGTGACTGCGGATCAAGAGGATAGGTTGATGAATCTACTTGTTAGTGTTGAACAGGCTGTGATATCGTATATAACTTGGATAAACCATTAGGTATCATACTGTATTGCCTTGAAATTCTTCTTCCACCTAGATTTATGTTGAGAAATCATCCCCACGGCAAGACGTCCAGGGAAAGCGACTAGCTCGGGAAAAGTTCATGAATATCAATGAAGAATGAATTAAAACGAGGAGTCCTAGGCTTCATAATCTCTTCGAATCCGCAGACCTCCCACCGTATATACTCCTGTGACCGGGCAGGGGCAGGCTGCACTGAACTGGTCAAAGTGTTTTTGCCCCACACGATAGCCCCACTAGGGTGTCTATGTCACTCAAGAAGAGCGCGCCAGGATTAGATTGGGCATTTTGAGTCCTTCAGTCATGGGAACCAGTATGGGGCTTCGGGTTAACGCTACTCAGACGACTACTCCATCCCTTGTCGAGCTCATACACCTCGGCTAAAAAGAACCCAGATCACCCACAAGCACTAAACATGAAGGGTGCCTCAGAGAAGGGTACTTCTTGGGGGAGACGATCCAGCAGTTCCGAGAAATCTCCACTCCTTCCGGGTTGTTAGATGACGTGATGGCGACCTACACGGAGGTAGGCTCCAGTGATGTTGTGTAAAATACCCAGCTGAACCGTATAATTCCGTCGCCGGCCATTTAATGACTGTTCGTACAACCTTGTGCATGCGTTACGATACTACTGACGGTATCTACGGTGTTAGAGATAAAAATGACGGCATTTTATGAACCAATTGCAGTGGTTTGTTGATGGTTTGGACTACGAACTTAACGACATCGTTCGTTATCCGTACAAGACCCAGATAGTTTATAAGGCACAAATAAATCCGAAATCCCCTTGGATGATATTGCTCAGGTCCTGAGAATTCATGATCTACTATCGTTTATGTTAATGGCCTCTCGTTGATAGCATACTTTCTGATTCTTTAAAAAAACGAACTTTTCATGATAAACTGAATGTTGCAATTCCTTGGGAACAGGATATTTTTGTTATAAAGAACGTGTTTTGAACCCTGTGTTCCAAAAAAACTTTGCCCACTAATATACAACCTCAACTGACCGCCAGCACAGCTAAAAAAACTTGGGTTAGGGCACGAGCCGATGCAGGATCTGAAGAACAAACTGTAGGCTCATCAAGTAGGACGGGTCTTGCCATGTGTTGGGTGAGTGGGTGTACGTAGCTAAAGTATCGTGTCACTTTCTCCGCTCAAAAGCACTTGAATGGGGCTGTAGGGCAGCGGTACCAAAGTGCCGACTCCATACTCCGCCAGCGTGCCAAACGGTCGATCGGCCGCCTGGACCGGTAGCCCAACACGTACCTTGCTGATCGCCTACAACAGAAGCTGCTGCACCATGCATCCTTTTTGAAGAAAAAAAACTCAATAGACATTTCAGAAAGCGAGGTTGACGACTTCATCCCAACACAATGGCCGTAGATATAGAAGAGTGTAACATCATGGGATTCCTGAGTTTCATTGGGTAGCAGCTTCTTCGATTTTTTTTGTTGAATGAAACCCTTCAAGATCTTTATTTGACAACGTCTCGGGCCTTAAGCCCTTCTTCAGATCTACAGTATACAGTACAATATCTATGAATTTGACACCCAAGCATTAGTTCTAGCTGAAGCGAACTAGAAACTATTGGAAATACGGACCATTAGCAACTGACCGAATATTAAGGCTAGTAGTTTTTTCTAGAGGAGCGGCTTCTTCCCGGGAAGCACGTGAATCACTACAAATGGTGTAGAGTGGACGTAGGGGAAGGGTGTTAGGCATATGGGAAGCTCCACCTATTCTAGCTGTCACTTCTTGCCAACATGCGACAACTAGATCGGTGGTGGGGAAGGCAAGGTGATGTCGTCTGAATACCCTTCGAGTCAACATAGGCCACACAATGATCATTCAGTCACATATCAACTGCGGGCTAGTGGAGACCATTACTATACTATAGGATGTGACTGGATGATCACTGAGTGGCATATGGTGACTTGAAGGGTCAGACGCGTCACCCCCCATCTTCCTTCGTCACCACGCATCTAATTGTTCCATTTCTGCGAGATTGGATAGCTACATAGGTAAAGTGCGCTTTCTCACATGCCCATACACCTTTCCCGTCTTCCGATGTCTATCCTACACCCAGCGGCGCGCCATCGTTGTTGATGGTCACAAACAGGGGTAGGCATCGTATTGACTTTGAGGGGACGGGGTGGCTGTAAGCGCGAGGGGCCCTTTCTGAAGTGAGGGTGCAGCGATACTCAGATATCGTTCAGCTTCAATGATGAAAGTATACATGTGAAGAACCCCTGAAGAGACACACACAAAGACAGAAGCAACGTGCCAGCGCAGAGTGGGGAACGGGCCGATTGGAAAGAAATGGATGTGCCCACTTTACACGTCATGAGCTACGCAAGCAGGACTCACGACGTGACGATAATTGAACAGGATGAAAGTACACTTCGTGAACCTTTCTGATCGCGCACGGAGACATTTTCTGGCAACTTGCGGAATTCCCACCTAGAAGCTTGCACCTTCCCGACACCTGCTGCGTGGAAAGCCTGCATGGCCGCATTTACTAAAGTTTGATGCCAGTTGGCGCCCAATGAACTATTTCCTGATATCCGTGGCAAAAACATGCGTTTTAGAAGCATACCGAAGAACTGGAAGTAACGAACTGGAAGTGGCTATTGGCATCGGGTATGGAGTGGAATTCGTGTGTCCGGCTAAGGATTCACTTGTGATCACAACGGGGATTTTTATCGATTATGCAGGGCCAAAGCATTGAATAAATTTTCTGTTGAAAGTAGAAAGCTTCGAAATTACGAAACTGTTTTCATTTTTACGAATGGCCCTGTATGAAGATTTATAATGACTGTTCAAAGCCATAGGACTTGTGGATGACCCCGATGATCACGCTAGGATCACAACGGAGAAAATTTCTAGAAAAGGAATGTTTTTGAAATCGCTCAAATCAGGTAACAAGAGCCAACCTAGTTCTACTCATTCCTGCTTTCCCCTCTCCGAAAGCTTTACTCTCAAAGAAGTTATGGGTGTTCAAGTGAGGGGTACTTTTCGAGTGTTTGGCTTGAAACTGGCTCCGGGTCGTAAAATAGCTCGCTCCAATCCCTTTGTATTAGCGCGCTCACCTCTGAATGACCGCGAACAACTGATATTCAAAAGCTAATCCATAGTTCTGGCTTCTAGTATTTCTGGTGAGTTTTTTCTCGTCGTTTGTTTGGAAAGTGTTTTTTTGGTTTCTTTTTGTTTCGTAGTAGCTTTCTAGCTTGGTTGTAGTTTTTGGCACTATCGAAATGTTCCTATTTCCTACAAATACCACATTCGCTTTGCACGAAACTTTCAATCGATTTTGGCGATTTAGGGTATTTTGGCGCCGCGCCACAGGCGCCGTCTCCCTTTCCCCACATTTTCTTTCTTTCCTTGTGTCTTTTGATGCTCATTTATAATTTATTACTTTTCTTATTTTTTATGATTTATTATAGCTCATTTCCATCGTGTTTCTCATATTTATCCTTGATTAACGTCGCGTCATTTCGTTTATTTTTGCAGATCTTTCATTTCTCGGTAGTTGTTTGTCCGCTGCTGATCTGGTCCGCTGCTACCAGATTAGCAGCGGACAAGGGGAGGGGGTCGTATCGAGACCTTTCTAGAGGAGGGGAGGTCGTATTCAGCAGAAATTGATCACAACGCGATGGCGTGCCCTGCCTACACCATTTGCAGTGGCTCACGTGGTATTCGGGAAGAACCCGTTCCCCTGGACCAAAACCACTTGGTTCGTTCAGTTGCTAGTGGTCCGTTTCTAATAGTTTCTAGTTCACTTCAGCTAGAACTGATGCTCAAGTGTGAATTCGATAAATATTGTATTGTGTATATACTGTAGACCTGAAGAAGGGCTGAAGGCCTCGAAACGTTGTATGATAAAGACCTTGAGGAGTTTCATTCAACAAGAAAACACATAGAAGAGTGTGGTCGAAAAGCTGACTAGAACGGGAAGTTGCCTTAATTACCCTGTGGACTAAAGGGTCTCGTTCAACAAAAGGAAATTCGTTCCAAATTTCGCGCTTTTCGTTCAGCCTGATATTATCAAGAAAATAAGTCAAATATGCGGTACATTCCAGCAGGAGTGCTAAACAGCATTTTGTAGCAGTTTATCTCCGTAATGACCGATAACTGATCGCATTAAAATCGTTCGGAACGAAAATCACCAACGTCACTGCTTTTGTTACAATCCTCGAAAAGAGGAAAG